ACAAAGGATATATCCTAGGATTTTACAATTAACCCAATTTTTTTCTTTTCAGAATAAAGATGCCTTCACCCATATCCAGCAGGAAGCAATTTTAAAAACCCAACACCTGCATTCTCAAAGAGGTGGTATGAGGCATGTGGTTTTTGGTCTTTTAATGGGTTTTGGGTCTGGGATAATTTTCATTGTTTAAGAGGGTTTGTTACAAGCTGTTAAGGGTTAGAAAAAGGGCTAAGCAAAGGAGATTAGATTTAAGGTTCTTGTTTTTTTTTAAAAAAAGAGATATATAGAGATGATAGAATAGAGGGTAGATTATTGAATCTACTCTGAAAATTAAAGAGAAGATATAGATACAATATAGATAAAAAGATAGATTATTGGATCTACTTTTAAAAGACAATTACTAGTTTTAAATACTTTATATTAGATTGGATTTTTGTATATTGTATACAAATTATATATATTGAGATTGATATTGTTAGAAAATGCTATACGTATATTTCTAATCTTGTTCAAGATATTGTACTTATACAGCATTTTTTTTGTTTGGTTGGTTGGTTTTGGTTTTTGGTTTTTGGTTTTTGGTTTTTGGTTTTTTGGTTTTGGGGTTTTTTTTGTTTTCTTTTTTTTTTTGGTTTTTTCGAGAAAGGGTTTCTTTGTGTAGCTTTGCACCTTTCTTGGATCTCGCTCTGTAGACCAGGCTCACATAGATCCACCTGCCTCTGCCTCCCAAGTGCTGGAATTAAAGGCATGTGCCGCCGCCGCCGCCACCACCACCACCACCACCACCACCCGGCTAGTTTATTTAACAATGTATTGCAATTTGCTAATCTTTGAATGTTATTATTACCGACTATTAGGATATAAAGAAATGAAAGTTAGTGGTTAGACATTACAATCGAACTGGTAGTCATATTAGTCATATGTTTTCAAAGTTGAGCAAATATATTTTAAATACAAAGGTCATTTTCAAACCATTCAGAGATCTACAGAATATGGCATTTAAAATGTTTTCATAACTTAGAATTTTTTTCTTTTTTTATGAATATGAGACATGTTGGCTCCTGGAAGCACCAATCTACTTCAGAGAAGATATGGGCATTGAAGAAACTGCATATAGAGTTAACTTTCATTGTGGCAAAAGTTAGCCACTGGACAACAATGTATCCTCAAATCGACTGGTGACAAACAGGACAAAATGGACAGACAGGGCACAAAACAAAGTATGGTGATATTGTGTTCCCCAAAATATTGTGTACCCTATTAAAATTATCTGAGGTCAGAGAACAGAACAGCCACTAGACAGACATAGAGTCCAGACAGTGGTGGCACACAAGCCTTTAATCCTAGCATTCCAGAAGCAGAGTTCCACCTGGATCTCTATGACTTTAAAGCCACACTGGAAACAGCCAGGCATGGTGACTCATGCCTTTAATCCCAGGAAGTGATGGCAGAAAGCAGAAAGGTATATAAGGCGTGAAGACCAGAAACTAGAGCTGTTTAATTTTTTAGGCTTTCGAGAAGCAGTTCAGCTGAGATCCATTTGGATAAGTACACAGAGACTTCCAGTCTGAGGAAACAAGATCAGCTGAGAAGTTGGCCAGGTGAAGTTAGCTGTGGCCTGTTCTGTCTCTCTGATCTTCCAGCATTCACCCCAACACCTGGCCCCTGGTTTGATTTTATTAATAAGACCTTTTAAGATTCCTGCTACAACAAAGGACTACTGATTCTTTCCAAGATAAGCATGGTTGTGGCTTTAACAACAGGCATCTTCTTGGGCCAAGACAATATGGCACCATCCCTGAAGTGGCCTTTGCAATCTGGAGAAGGTACAGTGCCCCTTTCTTCGAAGGTAGTTCTACTGGCAATGGACCTATGGTTTCTGATGTGCAGTGGAATAGTAACTTGAAAGAGTTACTAAGCTGACAGAGTCAAATCTCAATGGTAGGCTGCCATTTAATAAAAGAGATGAAGCCACCCACAAGCCAAGAAGAATGGGATGTGGAGAAAAACAGGATGCCGAGATGAAGCCACCCATAAGCCAAGAAAAATGAGCAAGCTGAATTCCAAAAACATTATCAATTTCCAGAATTTAAATTCCTGAATCATGACAGGACACTAGTGGAACTCAGGTGTTTCTGGTACATGGATTACTCTCACTGAATGTGAGGTCAAACTGTAGGCCTTGTGTACATCCTACTTCACAAATAAATCTGTCAGATATGCTAAGCCTATAGACTGAAGATGATGCCCCAACATTGCAGAGAAACCTTGGGTGACTCTCCAGGCAGCTGGCTGTTTCTGTCAACTCACAATTTTTTTTTGGAAGCTGCTTGCATGCACTTCCTGTTTTATTAGGTAATAATTCCTTCTTGGGTCTCTGAGGGAGCTGAAGATTAGATAGTTAGTTGTTATAGTTATAGTTATAGTCAAAGATTAGATAGTTATAGTTATAGTTTTCCTTGTTAAGAATTTCAGAAAAGAAACTCACTAAAGAGGTGTAAGTGTATAAGTCTGAAAGACATTGTAAGATAGTACTCTGTTAGTAATATAAGTTAGGATAGAAAGTGAATCAGGTACATTTTGGACTTACCAAAATAGCATAGATAATGGAATATTTTCTCTGAGTTTGTCAAATGCAAATGGACTAGACATTGTTTAGGTATTTATTGCTTTTATATATTGTATATAGTTATTGTATTTATTGTATATAGTTTTTCTTATATTAGTTATAACGTTTTTCCTTTTTTCTTTTTATTAGAATAGAAGGGGGAAATATGGTGATATTTTATTTGTGCTGAAATGTGATTTTATTTGTATGTTAATAAATAAAGTTGTATAGGGATCAGAGCTAAAAAACAAACCATTTAGCAGAAGTCCAGTGGTGGTGGCACATGCCCTTAATCTGACCACATGGCAGGCAGAATCTCTGCATAGTCAAGGACACAGCCAAGCAGTGACCCTAACCTTTAATCCCAGTACCAACCAAAGAGACCTGGAGGTCTGTATAGACAGGCAGTGATGAGGAAATCATGTGGTTGGGTTTATAGCCAATGAGAAGGTAGAACAGAAAGGCAATAAAAAGACAGGTCACACAGGAGAAGGTCTCTCTCTCTCAGGGGAAGGATGGCAGCAAGTGGTAAGCTAAAGGCTAGTGATCTGATCTCTTGGGCTTAACTCTGTATTTGGCTTTGTGTTTCTTATTTAATAAGACTGTTTAGAATTTTATCTATAGTTTGGTTTGGTTTTGATTTTTCTTTTAAATTTGATTTTGTTTTGGTGAGAGGTTACAAGGCAAAGGACAGATGTGAGGGGATGGGAAGATAAGTGGGATCAGAATGCTTGATGTAAAATGCACAAAAAATCAGTAGAAGTTAAAAAAAAAGAAATATGTCTTCCATATTTGCTATACACTTACTGTGTTTCATTCTGTTTTGGTTTTGTTTCTGGTTTTGGTTTTTTGTTTTGTTTTGATTTGATTGGTTGGTGGGTTTTGAGACACAGTCTCATTTTGCAGCCCTGGCTATCCTGGAACACACTATGTAGACCAGGATGGCCTCGAACTCACAGAGGTCTTCTGAGTGCTGGGATTAAAGTTGTGCAATACTACATCTGGCTTGTCATATATTTGTAATAGCCAATCCTTAGATGTGTATGTTAGATCAAAGTCATTCATGTTTTTAAATTTGAAGGGAGTTTTCCAAAATGTGTTTCAATGCTGTGTGTCCTAATTTGTTTTCTATTGCATCATCATCATCATCAAAAGCAACTTGAGTAGGAAAGAGTTTATTTCAGCTATGTGTCCTGATTACAGTCCATCATGAAAGGAAGTAAGGGTAAGAACTCAAAGCATGAACTTAGAGGCTAGAATTAAAGCAGAGGCCATGGAGGAGTGCTGCTTATTGGCTTGCTCCCTATGGTTTGCTCAGCCTGCTTTCTTATATTACCCAAGACCACCTTCCTAGGGATGGCATTGTATAAGTTGGCTAGGCCCTCCCACATCAATAATTAATCAAGAAAATGTTCCACAGACTTATCAACAGATCAATCTGATGGGACAGTTTCCAGCTGAGAGTCTCTCTTCTCAGATATGTGTAGGTTTGTGTCAAATTGACAGTAACTAACCAGCACATTGTATAATTTGCTAACACATGTGACCATAAATTGTTTACAAGGAAGTCTTGCTTCCAGATTCCTGCCTTGAGTTCCTACCCTAACTTCCTTTCATGATGGACTACAACTATAAGCTGAAATAAACCCTTTCCTCTACAACTTGCTTTTGATCATGGTGTTTATCACAACAGTAGACAGCAAACTAGGAGAACCTCCTTGTTGTTCCTTATGATTGCATGTAATACTCCCAATTAGTTATGGAGATTATAGCATAACTGATTCATCCAATCCCCTATGAACTTGTAATTCATTTGTTATTATAAGCAGTCACATGGTATAGTATCTACATACATGCTGTTTTGCTAACATGTATATATATATATATATATATATATATATATATATAATATTTTTTAGGAATGGAATTGCTAGTCAGAGGCATACCATTTAAGTTTTGAAGGTATTACCAGTGTATTATACTAAGTGTGAATTGACAGGCTAATTGAATGTGCCTTTTTCTTGACCTCTTCATCAATTCACACTACTTATCAAGTGAAAATCTATAAAAATACGTAAGTAGGGAAATGGTACCTTGTTTCAGCACTTGCCTTCATCTGAATGAAGTAAAACATGATTGTGTATGTTTAAAATCCATTTGCATTTCCTTGTCTGAGAATTGATGGTTATGTACTTAGACCATGTTTTTATTATGTTGTCAATTTATTATTTTTAATGCATATAATTTTCATCAGTGTATATTAATTGGACATAGTAATGGGTTACATAAAGATATAGCATATTGGGGGTCAGGCCCGCTCTGCGCCTGCGTGGGCGCGGGCTGGCTCGCCGGCCGTCCTGCGGGTGGGCGCCCGCGGCCGTGGGATGCAGTTATCAATATTGACCCCAGAAGAGAGAAGGCTGACAATGGGAAACATTGGGAAAGTTACCAGAAAGCTGTCATCATCAATGACAGGCTCAGTCGATGTCACAGATTCGCTGACTAGTCCGTGGCTTTATTGTCTTTGAGGACCCAATGCCTAGCAGAGGACCAAAGTTCACAGGTTAAAAAAATTTCCTAGAGAAGAAGGATCATAAGCACCATGATGGACTCAGAAGCGCATAATAAGAGATCCCCAATATTGACCTCTCCAAGCCAGGATTTGTCAACTCACATCGCAGCCTTCAACAACGTGGCCATCACATACCCTGTTCAGAAGATCCTCTTCCGGCAGCAGCTGTATGGCATCAAAACACACGATGCCATTCTCCAGCTGAGGAGGGATGGGTTTCGAAACTTGTATCGTGGGATCCTCCCCCCACTGATGCAGAAGACAGCCACGCTGGCGCTTATGTTTGGTCTGTATGAGGACCTGTCTCGCCTGCTCCGCAAGCACGTGAGCAGCACCCCGGAGTTTGCCATCAGAAGTGTGGTAGCAGTGCTGGCCGGGACAACATGAGCCGCTCTCACTCCATTAGAAAGGGTTCAGACTTTGCTTCAGGACCACAAGCACCGTGATAAATTCACAAACACTTACCAGGCCTTCTGGGCCCTGAGATGCCATGGAATTGCAGAGTACTACCGAGGCTTGGTGCCTATCCTCTTCCGAAATGGATTCAGCAATGTCCTTTTTTTTTTTTTTTTTTTTTTTTGTTTCCTTTTTTTTTTTTTTTTTTTTTTTTTTTTTTTTTTTTGGCCTTCGGGGGGCCCATTAAAGAGCATCTGCCTACTGCCACTACAAATAGCGCTCACTTGGTCAACGACTTTATCTGTGGAGGTGTGCTGGGTGCCATGTTGGGGTTCTTAAGCTTCCCGATTAATGTTGTAAAAGCTCGAATACAGTCTCAGATCGGTGGGCCATTCCAGTCTCTCCCCATGGTTTTCAAGACAATCTGGGTAGAACGGGACAGGAAACTGATCAATCTTTTCAGGGGTGCCCATCTGAATTACCATCGCTCACTCATCTCCTGGGGAATAATCAATGCAACGTACGAGTTTTTGTTAAAGATTGTATGATAAAGTCACTACAGGAAATGTTTTTCTCAACCAACTAGACCTAAAGAGAACGAAACGTGGTTTTGCTCCTGATTGGCTTAAATACAGGTTGGCGTCATTAAGTCCAGGCCATAATAAACTACGGACAAAACGTTGACAAAAACAGTAAAAGGTTTCCGTGGGCAGATGGCAGGGTTGTGGTTTGATCATTACTCAAGAGCTTTAGCCGTTCCCTGGTAACTAGCCGCATATCTGATGGTCTTTTCAAGGCAGCTGTCAGCCAAGAGAGAGGAAGGGCCTGGAGCCTTTTCCTCCCAGAAGGAAGGGGCTGCGAGGCTCCTGTATGGAAACATGGCGTCAGCATCCGGGGCATATGCTCCTACCCCAGGGCTACTCAGGCTCCCTCTCACCTCCTTCACTGCTTCTGTGCTCTTAGGTCACCTTCATTAAAGCCAAGCAGTGCATGGTGGGCTGGAGCAGAGACAGAAGACAGCGTCTGGCTGGATAGTTCCAGGAATTGTTGAAGTTAGCTTTGAAACAAGAAGTGCTGTGGAGGTAGTCATTATCCAAACTCTTTATTTACATTTGATAGTGTTTAGCAGCTAATGAAAGCTTCCATTTCACTGTTTAGCTTTGAACATTTTCTGTTTAATTCTGAATGTGACTTTAAGCCCTTCTAGGATGTCCTTGTGCTTTCTTACTGAATTCCTTGCCAGAAGATAGGGTGGCCTGGTTAACGTCTGTCGTGTGCTTCATCCTGGGAAGCAGGCACTGCCAGGTCTCCTGTTTCTGCTCGCTTTCTGCTACTGGTGCCAACGTAGCTGAACAGAGGGGTACTGCCCCTTGTGAGTAGTAACTGTCTTGTCTGTCTGTCCTGTTCCCGGTTCTAGACTTTCAAAAATAAACACTTCCATAAAGTTTTTTTAAAAAAAAGATATAGTACCTGCCTCCCATCCTATTTCTTCTGCTCTCCTTTTCTGTTGGTCCTTTTTGTCCCCCTATACAGTTTGACTTCTATGGTCATGTCCCACATACATTGTTGTGTAATATTTTAATTGCATTCTGACAATAAATTTTGCTTTAAGTCAGAGGGTAGAGATAGCCACAAGCTGATCAAAATTAACCATAGAAGTTTTAGAGGACTGAGAACAGATAGACAGGAAGTAGTAGAGCTTAGAAAGGATCTCAGTCCTTTTGGATGAAGGAACGGAAGAGATAGGAGGTCACTACTCACTTCTCTGCCATTTCTCTGATCATTCAGGTTCTTACCCTGATAACTAACTTTTGATTTTTTTTATTGATAAAGAATAATTAGATAATACATCAACATATATAATTTTATATATCTATACAAATATGAGAAAACATGGTGATTTTCTTTCTGAGACTACCTTAATTCACTTACTATGATTATCTGCAGTTGCATCCATTTGCTGCAGACAACATATTCAAAGATTCAAATCTTCATTCAAAAATTCTTCATGGCTCAAAAATTCCATTGTGTCTATGTCTTAGTCAGTGTTCTATTACTGTGAAGAGACACCATGACCATGGCAACTCATATAAAAGCAAACATTAAATTGAGGCTGGCTTACAGTTGTTATCATGGTGGGAAGCATGGCAGCATGCAGGCAGACAATAGCACTGGGCAGTAACTGAGAGTTCTACATCTGGGTCCATAGGCAGTAGACAGAGAGAGACACTGGGCCTTGCTTGAGCATTTGAAACTCAAAATCCCACCTCTAGTGACACAATTTCTCCAACAAGGCCACACCCATTCCAACAAGGCCACACCTCCTAATCCCTGTCAAGTAGCACCACTCCCTAATCTATGAGCCTATTGGGGCCATTCTTATTCAAATCACCACATTATATTTACTACATTTTCTTTAAATAGTCCTCTGTTGATGGTCACCTAAGTTGGTCCCATAACTTAGCTATTGTGAATAACATTAAAATAAAGATTATCTCTGTGATATGTTGACTTGGAATCCCTTGGATTAATACCTGGGAGTTGTACAGCTATATTATATGGTAGATCTAATTTTAGTTTTTTGAGGGACCATATGTATTTTCATAGTGGCTGTTGTAGGACAAAACGTTTCCTTGGTAGATGCTACATACATGTCTACTTGTCTACTTGTCTACTCCCATCAGATAGGCAACACCATGAAAGTCCAACTTGATGAACCAATGGATTTTATTGGGATTTCTTATAGGAATATGGGTGAGGAAATTACTCAAGGAGAGCTGCATCACCAAAACCTACCCAAGCATGGGAGACAGCTCACAAAAGGTAGGAACCTGGAATATACTGCACAGCCTGCAGAAAGCTCAACAGATTAGAGAGTGTCCCTTATAGGTGACTGAGTTGGTCTAAACCTCTTGCAAGCAGCTTGGCTGTTTTCTGCTTCTTCCAGGTACCTGGTCTGGTCTCAGAGTCGTCTTAGCAGCTTGATTTGTCTGAGAGTCTTTGCAACTTGATTTTTCTAAGAATCTTCCTTGCATCTTTTACTACTTACTCTAGAGGAGGGGGTCCCATGAATCTGGTCAGTATCAGGGACTTCCCAAAGCTGTTTTGAGTTGTTTACCATCCTGCTTAAGGAGCTTCCCTGCAGGTTGGAATGTTTCAATCTCAGAGGAAATTTACACAGCTGTGGCTGGGTTCATTTGTATTCCCACCAGCAGTGTATAAGGGATCCCTTTTGTCAAGCATTTGTTGTTTTCTTCATGGCTGATATTCTGACTGGGATGAAATGGAATCTCAATGTAGTTTTAATTTCTGTTTTTCTTATACCTATAGATATTGAGTATATGTTCTTACGTTTATTGCCCATTTGTACTTCATCTTTCAGAATTGCTTGTTCATTTCATTAGCGAATATTGATTGGGTTGTTTGATTTATTATTTAAATTTATTTATTGATTGATTTATTTATTTAAATTTTTGTGTTCTTTATTCAATTTGATATCAATATGTCATGGTGAACATTATGTTTAAAGTTTAAATTACTGTACTTAAGAGATCTGTAAAACAAAAATGCCTCTAGCATGTAGGCCCCTAGGTTGTAAAAGCTGTACGCTGTCAGCTCACTTCCCTTTGCCCAGAGTATTTGGGCTATTCTTAAAATTGCCTAGTCTTGCAAGTCTTATAAAATTTTAACTATCTCTGCTACTCTTGAAAGATACTAGGTCTATTACAAACAAAGCTGATATGAACATAGCTGAGCAAGTGCTCTTGTGGTATGATTGAGCATTTCTTGGGTATATGCCCAAGAGTGGTATAGCTGGATCTTGGGGGAGATTGACTCCCAATTTTCTAAGAAAGCGCCATATTGATCTCCAAAGTGGTTGTACAAGCTTGCATTCCCACCAGCAGTGGAGGAGAGTTCCCCTAGTTCCACATCCTCTCCAGCATAAAGTGTCTTCAGTGTTTTGGATCTTAGCCATTCTGACAGGAGTAAGGTGGTATCTCAGAATTGTTTTGATTTGCATTTCCCTGATGATTAGGGATGTTGAGCAATTCCTTAAATGTCTTTCAGCCATTTGAGTTTCCTCTGTTGAGAATTCTCTGTTTAGTTCTATAGCCCATTTTTTAATTGGACTGTTGGTCGTTTTGATGTCTAATTTCTTGAGTTACTTATATATTCTGGATATCAGTCCTCTGCCAGATGTGGGGTTGGTGAAGGTCTTTTCCCATTCTGTAGGCTGTCGCTTTGCCTTCTTGACCATATGCCCTTCAACTGAAGAATGGATAAATAAATTATGGCACATATACACAATGGAATACTACTCAGCAGAGAAAAACAATGACATCATGAGGTTTGCAGGAAAATGGATGGATCTAGAAAAAAATCATCCTGAGTGAGGTAACCCAGACTCAGAAAGACAAATATGGTATGTACTCACTCATAGGAGGATACTAGAAGTGGAACAAGGATGACTGGACTGCTACTCACATCACCAGGGAGGATACCTGGAAAACAGGACCCCAAGAAAGACATGAGGATCGCCCAATGATGGAGAAATGGCTGAGATCTACATGAACAACCTGGACATGAGTGGGAGTAATGAAGGGCGAGGGTCAAGGGAAAGAGAGCCTGTGGGAGCGGGAGATCCCTGCTGGATCAAGAACAGAGAGGGAGAACAAGGAATAGGAGACCATGGTAAATGAAAACCACATGAGAAAAGGAAGAAACAAAGTGCTAGAGAGGCCCACAGAAATCCACAAAGATACCCCCACAATAGACGGCTGGCAATGTATTTGAAAAGTGCCTTGATTTGTGACTTCCTCTGTTGCGTTATTATAAAAATTTGAAGTACCAAAAAGAAAAAAAGAAAGAAAGAAAGATACTAGGTCATAAAGCTAACCACTAGTTCTGCTTCTATACAAAAATGCTTTCTTACTCAAGAAGACTGAGGCATCTGTAGACATTTGTTACAAAAGTTAAATTCTGCCTGCATGTAAGCAAGATATGCATCAACTCAACCCACAAAACTATAATCTTGTGGGGTTTGCCTTTATAAACCATGGACTAACCATAGCTTGGGGACATGCTTTGAGAATCCAAATTGTGGGTATCTAATAAGACTTATTTGTTAAAATTCATTCAATTGTCAGTTTGGTGAATCTCTGAATGACACCAGACCTATAACACATCCTTTATCAATGTACAGCTGGTAAAGATTTTCTTATATCCTGCAGGCTGTCTCATTATACTGTTGTTTCCTATACTTCGTGGAAGCTTTTGAATTTCTTGAGATCCAATTTGTCAGTTATTGATATTATTTCCTGAACAACTGGAGTCCTAATCAGGAAGTCCTTGCCTTTCCCTGTTTGATCTTCCAACAGTTTCAGAATTTCAGGTCTTGTATTAAGGTCTTTGATCCACTTGGATTTAATGTTTTACAGTATGAAAGACAGGGATCTAGCTTCACACTTCTGCACACAGATACCCAGTTTTCACAGTGCTATTTGTTAAAGAGGCTGTCTTTTCTCCAATATATACCTTTAGCATAGTTGTCAAAAAGCAGGTGGTTGTAGTCGTATGGGTTTATATCTGAGCCCATTGTTTTGTGCCAGTGTCATGCTATTTATAAAGTTAAGCTGTCATCTTTTCTTCTTGTTTTGTTGGAACTTTCTCTATATTGAAGAAATTAATTCTTTATCTGTCATATGTGCTAAACATTTGTCTTTTTTCTTGGTAGTCTCACCTTTTAAATTTGTTTATGATGTTTTGCTATAGTCAGATCTATCAATATTTCCCTTCATTAGTATCTTAGAGTTTCTATTGCTGTAAAGAGGAACCATGACTATGGCAACTCTTATAAAGGAAAATATTTAATTGGGGCTTGCTTAGAGTTCAGAGGTTCAGTCCATTATCATCATGGTGGGACATGGCAGCATGCAGGCAGATATGATGCTGGAAAAGTAGATGAGAGCTCTATATCTTGTAGGTAACAGGAAGTGAACTGTCTGACTGGGCATGGCTTGAGCATGTATGAGACCTCAAAGCCTGCCTCCACAGTGGCACACTTCCTGCAACAAGGCCATGCCTCCCACTAGTGCCACTCCATTTGGGGGCCATTTTCTTTCAAACTACCACAATTAGCATCTAGATTTTGTGAAGTGCTTTATAACAAGAGTGTCCTAGTTAGAGTTTCTATTCCTGTGTTGAAACACTATGACCAAAACCAAGTTGCGGGGAAAGGGTTTGTTTGGCTTACACTTCCACATAGTAATTCATCATCAAATGAAGTCAGGACAGGAACTCTAGCAGAGAAGGAACCTGGAGGCAGAAGCTGATGAAGAAGCTATGGGGAAGGGGTGTTGCTGCTTACTGGCTTGATCCTCATGAATTGCTCAACCTGCTTTCTTATAGAACCCAGGACCACCAGCCCAGGGATGGAGCCACCCACAAT